GTGTTCTGCTTGCAAATATAGGGAGTATTTGTTCTGATTTGGCAGGAAGAAGGAAGTAAAAGGGTATTTAGTGTATTCAGATTTTACGTTCACCCATTTTATGCTGGTATTATGGTGTGGTGCTGGGTGAAGCCCAAACACAAGCTGTTCCAAAATGTGGTTTATATACTTACTGACTGATGTTTAGGTAACTAAATGCTAGTGACGGCTCTTTCCTGGGTCTTGTGTCACTTCTGTTTACTCTTTCTCTATTTCACTTATGTTTTACTTGAAAGTCAGATTCTATCTTTTTTTCCGAGTGATGTAGGGGGACTTGGAGAATTAACTTCAAAGCACACAATTTCTTGGGGACATGCTAATAAAAGGTTCCCACAGCATACGGTACATAAAAAGGTGCCTACCTCTGCAGAAATAAGCGCAAGAAGAGGTGAGCTTCCCTGCTCAGGCAATTCCAGTGGGAGGAATGGGCCAGAAACTAACTTCCTAGCTGCAAAATCTTTACAATTTTTCTTGCTGCGTACCAGGTAGCTCCTCAGGCACCTATTAAGCCTGGAGCGACCGGATGTATTCCTCCAGGTTTGTATCTCTAAAATACTGCCAGCTCTCAGTGGGCTCAGCTTGCTAGGAAGAGCTCAGCCGTGCTCTTGTTTATCAGCAGCTGAGTTCAGAGTTGGAAAACTGTGAGTGCTACTTAAACGAGTAACAGATGCACACAAACAAACCCAGCTGCCAGACGCTCAGCAGCGTGACATCGGGAGCAGTGTCCTGAAGACAAGTTACAATAAACCTTATGGGGCTCGTGGTGCTTCAGAAAGACGGTGACAACTGCAGCTAATTTCATTTTCTAACTAACTTCATGAACACGTTTTAGATGTTCCTGTTTCGGTAGATGAAAATTAGATGCAGATGATATTCAGCGTGAAATAAAAGCTCCCTGCTGTGTTGTAGGGTACTAAAAACAATTGGCTTATCTTTTGTTTTCCAGATGCAAAACATAACAGTGCACTCATGAGATCTTTAGTCATCTCCAATACTCCACTTTTAAATAAGTGCACAGAATCTGTACTTCCTTGTTTCATATTGAATCCCTAGCAATGCGGCCTGGTATGTTTCACTTAAAATCTTTTCATCCCATAGCACCTCAGAAAAAAAAAGGATCAGTTTTAAACAAGTTTTTTCTTTTTTTTTTCCTCATGTGTTCCAAATGCCTTCCCTCTGCAGTTTTGAACTTACATGGTTGCTTACAAAATTGCTTTCATGTCTGGGGTATTTTTTTATCAAGCAGTTGGGTCAGATCTGAGCGATTTCTAGGGGCCAGATCTAAAAGCAGGATTTTCATAGTGTTTCAGATTGAAATTTTGTTTTGGAATGCCCAATTCTCCCCTTTTACAGACACTGTGTCCATGTGCTCAGGCTTCTGGCTTCCAGGGCCAAGTGAAAAAGTTCTTATTTGTATTCCTCCCTCAAAAGATCAGTTTCCCTTCGTAGTTCATTGCAGGACCTGTTGTTAGCCTACCGATACCTGCAAATAACCTCACACGGTTTTGTACCAAGTGACAGACCCAAGTTCAGGGTTCAGGGAGGTAAATTTAGGAAATGAGAAAGTTGCAATGCAGTCATATATTGCTTTGATGGAACAGGTTATGTTTACAAAGAAAGCACAAAGTTATTTTTGCTTGGATGCTAGTAGCAAAAAAATTGTTTACACTATTTTTTCAGAGAGTGATTAGCCCAAAATGTCCGTAGTGTTTTCTGGGGAACATATGCTCAATGCTTGTCTTGGCTGAACGTTTGTGGGTGTTTATAACACGCTTCAGTACCATCTCCAACCTTGTCTTCCTAGCATGTGGGAACGAGATGTTTTCCAGCCTGGAGCCTGATCCTCTCCCCTGCACGGCCAGGTTTCTTTACTGTGGAGACCAGAATATGACAGGGGATGTTGAAAATCCAGCTGTTGTTCTGCCAGGGGGTCAGGATGCAGCTGGATCGTTTGTGCAGCTCCAGGAGTTGGGAAGCGCTCTAAGAATGGTCATTTTAGATGGAGCTGCTGGGAGTGGGTAGTATCAAGCCTGGCTTACGTCAGTTCGTATTTGCTGCACCAAGAGCCAGCTCTTGTCTGTGTGAACTTTGCTTCCTTTAGCTTTATATGATGGCCCTGGTTCTCCTGTTGGAAGAACATTTGCATAGAAAAAACTTGAATAAAGGATTGTCTCTGATCCTTGTTATAAACTGCCTCAGTTTTAAAAAACCCGAAAGGTTTCTTTTCAAGCTCCTGGAACCCGATAAAACCACAAGTTATGTTTAGTTATATCATATTAAATATGCATTAAACAACTTTCCAAATATTTATGTGCTTTCAAGTGTGTATACAGATGCTTCTTCCATTTGTACAATCATTTTTCATACAGAATAATTGTTAAGGTGGAAAAACAAATATAAACCAAATTCTGAGGCTCTCCTGTACAAAGTTAAGACAAATGAAGTTTCTATGGCAGTCTGTATAACTTCGAAAGGATCCATTTCCTCTGGAGTCACTCATAATATGCTGTTATAAGCAAGAGTAAGCACAGCACTTGAAAGAATTCTGCAATATTAAGCCAGCGCTATGCGTAATTTTCCTGGGATTTTCCTGTGCTGTCTGATAACAGCATAAGAATTGCAGTCATTTCCAGAATGGGAAGCAAACCGTAGACGAAAGCAGATAAAGCGTGGATAATGCGTGTGTCACCCGATACAGAACCAGGATGTATCTATTAGTCAATATTCAGCACAGAGAGAAAAGTGGAGGCCAGCAAACCAGTGTTTATGTTCTCCTCTAAGGAAAGTTAAAGGTATTTTTCAGGGACTTTCCAGCATTTCTTTCAATGACTTTGTCAATGACTTCCCCTATGGTTTGCAGCACTTAGACGTTGGAGAGAAATGCACTTTTGATTTTGTAAGAACAGCAACATTAAAACTCAAGGAAACCAAGAAAGGTTCTTGATACCAGAGCGGAGCTGCAGCAGCCAGGCATGGGAGGGGCAGTTTGAGGACAGGGAAACGACACAAGGTTGTTGCTTGCTCTGTTGATTCTTGCTCCAGTCCTCTTGCTGCCAAACTGAAGTTGTTGGTGAAAGAAGGAGGTGAAAATGGTTTGGAAGGAAGATAAAGTAAGAGACCAAGAAAGCAACAGAGCACAGAAAGGACACGTAAGCACCTCTGCTACGTTTGCTTCCGAGAAGGGCAACAGAGAAATGAGCTGAGGGCATGGAATACACATGGGAGCTGCAGCATGGAGTGGCCTTCTGGCCGCGTGGTAAAAATACAGTTCAGATGCTAAATGGAGTGGCCAAGGGGAGCAGAAGCTTACTTCACGGAATCATAGAATCACAGAACGTGAGGGGTTGGAAGGGACCTCTAGAGATTGTCTAGTCCAAGCACCAGATCATCTAGTACTCAGATGGGGAAGAGGAGAAGACGGACGAGAAGACATAGTTAGCTGCAATGAAATTTCAGAGTCCTGGCTCTTACTCACAGCCTGCTCAGCTTTCTAGTGTGTTACACAGACATACACGCGCAGAGTCAGTTACTAAGTAGCCTAGAGGTTTTAAAAGCTGCTGTGAGGCCTGATAACTGGAGGGCCACAGAGCACATAGTCCAGAGTTCAGGTGCCTTAAGGCATCAAACTGATGCCGAAATAACTGACACGAATCTTAGTGCAAAGGGTCTTCAACGAGAAGCAAGCCAAAGACAAGGTCTCTTATTTTTTGATTGCAAAGTTACCTCACAAAATTCCTTCTGCTGCTCTAAGACTAGCTGTATCACGGGTAAAAGTGAAATAAGCGCGTATGTGCCTGAGATAAACAGATACGCACTAGTTTAAAGCAGTAGGCTTTAAACCTGTGCCTCTGTCTCTTATTTGCAGTTGCTGGCTTTCATATGGCCACCGTTGGGCTTTGAGCTGATGAGTTCAGAGAACTGTTAAGCATGGATGTTTTATACTACTCTCTTCCGAAGCGTGCTGGACTAGGAGTAGCCTGAAGAGAGGAGAGAGCATATTACCCTATCCTAAGGGTTTGTTATTGCATTCAGTAATGTCAGTTACCACAACAGGGTGAGGTATGGTACCACAGGCTACAAGCTTTCAGTTCAGTTCCAGAGATCAGGCTGATGTGGCAAAAATGAAGACTTGTTTGCCAAGAAATGAAATGAAAATATAAAATAACAAAAAGCTAACAAACAGATTTTTGGTAGAAAGTGTTTAATAAGACATTATTAGGAATAATTACACTCTCACAAGCAAATCCTGTGTACAGAAGATTTTTTTTTCCATTAGCTCATGGAGTAGCTGATTGGACATACAACCAAATTCTTTTACAGAACAAGGAGGTTGTGACTATTTCTGAAGAAATTAATACTAGGAGTGGAAAATGCAGTAGAAATTAAATAAAATACCATAAAATTCTTGCTTGTTTAGAAACTACTCAATAAATACACTTATAAATACCATGGAAGTCACAATAAATAAATACCAAGCCTACTGTCTTACAGATTTTCCACATCAGAAATCACAGTTGACAGTCTAGCCACTGGCTGACCGTGGTTCACGAAGCTGTTGTTGACACAACATACTAGTGCACTCCAGGGGAGCAGGAGGAATTATCGGGTTGCTGGTGTAATAGCAAAGCAGTAAGGCTCGGCGTACATAAACCGCGCTCTAAGTGCATTGCACTTAACTACTTGTGTTTGGCTGACGTGGCTGCCAAGGGTTCTTCATTTCCTTTAGCAAACTGCTTTTCCTGTTCAGCGTCTTCGGTGCCAATGAACGGTGTGTCCCACAGACAGCACCGACCATTTGGAAAGACCCTCTTAAATAGATACAGTTAAATAAATAAATAAATAAATAAATAGCGTTGTAACGCCGATGCAGGAGGTGGAAGTTGGTTCAGTCTCTGAGTGATGCTTTTCTCTCCACGTAGGAGTGGGAGCAGTTCCCAGATTTTTTTCTTTCCTGGTGTTTCTCAAAGTGGTGAGTCAGAATTTTGTTGAGCCCTGATAAGAGGTGAGAGAAGAAGATAATTTAAAAGGAGGTTCAAGAACGGCCGTCATTGCTTCGCATTGCACAAACAGTTAGGGATGTGTGGTCTGTTTCCAACACTCATGTGCTGTCTTGAGGCACAGAGAGAATAGAGTTGATGTTTCCAAAGCGTTACTGAAATGCCAGCGTGTGCACAGCTGGTGCCCGGCTAGGAAACTTCTGCAGCATGAGTTTCTGCATTTAAGCATGTTATGGAACTCATTAACTCGAAAATATGGATTGTTAACATATGCTACTGTAAGTAAGGTGGAAGATGATGTTTTGTAAAGCCTTGTTTTTCAAAGGGAGCCAAACACCTCTGGGTTCCTTTCCCTCTAGCTGGAGCTGCCGGCACTCAGAGGTTTCGTAGTGGCATACCGACTTGAACAAGGACCCTGCGACAGAGTCGGAAAGGCTGATTCTATAATTAAGCACCAAATTTTCTTGTTCTTTAAACCTAATTGGCTGAAAATGGAAAGTGTCGCTAAAAAATCATGCAAATTGGATTTTTTCAGGAGATTTACTTCTCGCCTGCCCAAATTGGGAGAGAACGGGACTTACTTGGCCAAAATCGCCTTTACAATCAGCTGTACCCAGGGAGCAGTGGGCTCCAAGCACACCTCTCTGCCGTCCTTCAGAGTAGCTCTGCAAAACAGGGAATAAAGAAAAGTCAGGAAACTACTGCATGTATTTGTTTTCTTCACAGAGTATAATACTGCAATTTTTGATCAGGTAGTTTAAATTCATCCCAGCCGCTCTGTGCCAGACCTGGCCATTTTGTTATGTGTGTTCCACAGCCAAGGAGTCTAAAACTGGTCAGAGGTTGTGTTGAGTCTACGTGCCTGCTCTCAAAGCAGTCACACATCCCCAAAAGTCTTTCTCAAAATACATGAATACTTGGTTTGAATTTGTTTATCTTAGCAAAGCTTTCTTATGCAATGATTGAAACCTCCAGCAGTGAAAATGTGTTTCAGCACTGTAAGACTTCCAGCATTTTACTCCCCCCTCCTTGCTATTTGAAACTAGATCACTTTCATTGTTCCCTACGTCTGCTTCTGGGAACTTAGTTTTTCTCTCAGAGACTGATGCAGACTATTTTAATGGGCGTTTTGCCTGCTTAATAAATACAGAATTTAAGCTACAGTATTACCTCGTGGCTTAAGAACTGACCAGTCCTTGAAATTCATGTCCTACCACCAGAAATATTTAATATGTCCCGTGACAGATAACTAATGATCAGTTCAGGGATATGTAAGGTCATAGAGACGATGAAGAACATGCTGCATTATTAGAGCTGTCTCTCTTGGAAGAATAATCAAATCTGACTGCGTCACACATCTGCTTGTCGCGAAGCGTGAAAGCCCCCGCAGCAGCAGCAGAGTGCGGGTGAAGAAGAGGGAGGCTCTTGCCGAGCTACTTACATGACTTCGACGTTCTTGCAGTGTGGGCCGCTCTGGGTCAGCTTCACGTCTTGAATGGATCTCGGAGGGATGAACTTGGAGTGAGTGGCTACGCACTGGCACCGCAGCTCGGTTCCCATCCTCGCCAGGGTCCTGCCTGTGAGCAGAAGAGGAAGACCCTGATTTGAGAGGTGGCCTTACCATCACGCCTGCTCTCCAACCTCCTGATTTACAATGGTGCATTTGTCCAAGCTGCCTAAACCCTCACAGAATAAAGACCAGTGGCTTATTTGTTTCAGGGGAGCTGATGCTCTGTTACATTTAAAACTAAACTAGCATGTCTTTTTAAAATAAAACCACATGTTTATGGTTACTTGTACTGACCACACTGCACAGATAGTTGCATCATTTTCGTATCTGGGTCAGTGAACCAGCAACTACACAGCAGATAGATTTTTTCATTAATTGGAGGCTTGTCCATGCTTCTATGTTCGTATTGTTTGTTCTCCATTTCCAGCTCTACTTTACTTGCTGGAGGCAGTATGATCCTTAAGCAAAAAACCTGAGATCATAAGCTGATCTTTGTGTGGGAAAGGAGAGAAATGTTCAAACACTTAAGAAGGTCCTGTCTCTAGCTGTGGACGTTTCAAGTGAAACGTAGAAACAAAGCCAAGTTAAATTGCATCGTTAATATTTTTCCCACAAGATGTCAGTAACTCTTCAGTACAAGGGCTACACGGTAGATTTCTGACTGAAGACAAGTTGCTGAAAATCTCCCGAAAGAAACTATTTCCCCAGACCAAATATAAAGCTACCTCTCTGCAAGGACGAGCGGCAATAGATGCCTGGGCAATGCTGCAGCCACGGAGACCTTGGGAAGGATTTACTGACCTTGAGACAGAGCCGCGGAAATCAGGAAGAGAGCCAGGACAGCCACAAGTTTGCCGTTCATGACTGAACAGAAGTTTTCGCTGAGCTGCTTTGCTGTGGTTCTGTGGAGCGGTGAGCTCTCTCGTCCCAGAGGATTGCTGATGCCTGAGCTGGGCGATCCATCTCACTTATATACTGTTTTGTGCACAGCCTGCCTGCTCTCCTAGCATGTAGATTGCGTTAGAGGAATTTCCCAGATGCAGTAAAAATGGGTCATGTGACTGTTGTGAAACTCCTTCCTAGATGACAAAAAATTATTCTTCTGAGAATATGACGTGTTAATTACTTATGTGTAAATAATAGCTGTGCATTGCCGTTTCTTCTGTAGACTTTTGTAAATGTTGTGCTTTTTCTAACGCATACCTCAGTAATGTAACTTGGTGATGGTCTCAGTTACATTTATGTTATAACTTTTTATTATTTTCTTTAGCTTATACCTTACCATTTTTCTTTTATTATTTTTTTCCAGTTTCTTGGTTCTTTCTTTCATAGAATCATAGAATCCTAGAATGGCCTAGGCTGGAATGGACCTTAGAGATTATTTAATCCAACCTCCCTGTCATGGGCAGGGACGCCTCTCAACTAGATCAGGCAACACATGGGGACCGAACGTGTTCTTTGTAGAGATGCCAGATACCTAATTTTGTATCTTTGCTTATGGCAATAGCCTCTACTTACCCGATTTTAAGCCTCTGGAGTGGAAATCAATCTTACAAAGTAAATTAATCTCTAATAACTGTCTGTTCAGTAAAAAGGCTGCAGTCTTCAAAGCTTCCTGTGGCAAGCAGATAGTAAATTCTGAACAGCTTTGAAAATCATGCCTGCATTTTTCAGGTCACACATCTTAGTGAATGGAAGCTCTGCATGCAAACTAAATACCGTGACTTGCTGAATGCAGCTGCTTTTGTTTCCTTTGCAAGTGCAGATATTTTTGATAAGTCTTTTGTGTAATCTTTTTCAGTGCCCATAACCCTAGGTCTTAGCACAGGGAAATAACATTAATGATGGTGATACTTCTCCCCATATTTCTGTTACGTAACCTTGTTGCATGAGATATTACCTTGTAAGGCCGGCAATTTCAAAGGAGGACTTACTGATCTGTTGCTTATATGAAGGTTTGGGTTTTTAACCCATCTGGAATGCGTGTGATTAGGACAAGTCATTCTCTTTCAATGCCATAAAAATGTAAAGTGTTATAATTTATTTATAGTAATGTTTTAATCATTTGCCTGTACTCAATTATGGTTTACGGTGTTCCATTTGTCATTAGCTTACTTGATTAAAGGGACTCTGTGATGAAAATTCATCCCTTTCCCATCACTGTGTCAGCTGGCCCACGAGAGGATATTGCCAAGTCTCTCTCTCCTGCCTCTGACTGAGTGTTGAGTCAACAAAAGATACTGATTCTGATGCCTGATGGTGCTGTGTGTCTTAGACAGCTTTCCTAAAATATGCATTTAGTTCTCTGAAGGCATGAAAAAGGAGAGGATTTTGGCAGGTGCTGAAGGTTATGTTTTGTTGTTTATGTTGTATTATGCTGTATATGTTATGTTAAATTAACCGGGTGGTTTTACTGGTGTCAGAGTGTAGATGCTGGAGCTTTAACAAGTTCCGTTGGAAGGAGGTTTTGCTGATTCTTCTCTTTTGGGTTCTCTCCCTTTCTATCTGTATCTATATATAGGCACTCACACAGGGCAATTAAAATTTGATGAGGGATCTCACTTTTCTTAGTTACTATTTGCAGTTTCATTGTCTAATTTTGGTGTGCACTGACATGTCATTAATGTCTGAGGCAAAAAAAAGGAAATTCCCCTTCAAATCCCCAAGTAAAACCAATGACTCTGCCCTTTTTACCTCTAGACTCAGCTATTTCCTGAGTGTGGCAGTAACAGATCTGCAGAAATCCCCTGGGTCAGAAGTGAAGGCAAGAGTCTACTCTTCCTCGATGATTAACCCTACGCCAGGGCTTAGAGCAAGTATCTGTCTAAAAGAGCAGGGGGGTTGTAATGAAATAAAATTCCGCTATGTTTTATGAGAGTTAAAGCATCTCCCCTACCTTCACTCTTTCTCTGATGTGACAGTTTCATTGGGACTATGTGAAGGGGGTGCAGCGGAGACGATAGTGTCGTGGAAAGGTTGAGACATGGGATCCAGCCCAAAGGCCAGGCACTCCTAACCTGTGTTCCTGGGAGTGCCATGCTTTGCCCAAGTTCTCCTTCCATCCCTTCAATACCTTGCCCGGGATTTCATCCCAGCCCCTGCCTCGGGGAACTTCAAATCCATTGTATGATTTTGGTAGCGTGTGTTATCCTGCCAGACGTCGGAGATGACTTGTGCAAATGGAATTGCTCCTCCTTTTGGAGGAAAACATCACTGAGCGACCTGATACTGCTGCAAGCAGAGACCTTTCTCGCTTAGCTCTGTTAAATGCACTCTCATAATGAAAAAAACAGTAGTTATGCAATAGCTGGATTTCTGAAAGACTGCTGGAAAGGGAAGTAAATCCGTCCCTTGCCTGTGTTTTAAGGGAGGATGTAGTATGTGTTCTCTGTGCCACAGGATGAATCATTGCCTTGTCTAATGAGCACAGAAGTCAAAAAGAGAATCTTTTGGGGTCTTGACTGGGATCGTTTAAAATGTTTGTACGTAGCAAAGGACGCCCAAACACCAGGATCACAGCGGGGGGTTTCATAAGGACTCTGGTGACCCTGACCACCATGAGGGGTTGGGGAGAAATGGGCTCCAGTCCCTTACTGGTTTGAGTTGTCCCGGTTCCAGAGGAATGCTCCAGCATCCCGAGGCTGATCAAACTGCTCTCTCTAAGAAAATCAAGAATCCATCATGGTTTGGACAAATTCAAACCTCTTGCTCGAGAAGTTGCACGCAAAGGCCCAGGAGACAAAGCTTTTGCTGGAGCAAGGGTTCAGCCAGAGCAAGGTGAACTGTGTCAACTTCTGTCACCTGTGAGTCCTCTCCACCAGCCTACTCTTGCTCCCCAGGGAAAAAATCCCACTCCGTCTTCTGAAACCACCTACTTTCCCCAAAAAGGGGCTTGGCGTTTGCCTGCCTTTCCACTTGACCCTCAGAGAACAGGAGCAAATACAGGGGTGAGGAAATAGTTGCTTCTGCTGGTCAGAGACTGGGCACAATGCTGTGCAAGCACTTGGGGAAGTTTACACTGAGGCAGACTGTAGGAAGCAGAAAAATAAAAAGCAAGATGTCTCCTAAATGTCTGGGTTTTGACTTGCTCTATGAGGAAGTGATAGCAAAAAAAAAGTAGAAAATCTTAGGTCAGCTTGTGATTTTTTTTTCAACCTTAAGTGTCTAAATATAGATGGTCAGATCATACCACAAATGCTGGACTTTCCTGAATCCTTATGGAACTGCAAAGTAGCAGTGCAGCTTTTTAGCTGGTTTGCCTTTTAGTTTATAGATTTATAAATGCACTAGTATACGTACATATTTATATGACTGCATATTTATTTATGATATATATTTCAGTTCTGCTTGAAAACAGTCGATTCTGTATTATAGCTTTCAGTTAAAAATTGTTGTGGGTTAATTTGATCCAATTCAATATGAAAAATCCCTGATAGTGTTAATACAGGGTATCTAGTAAAATGAGAAAATAATACAGTAGTATTAATTAGAATATTAATGTAAAATATCAGCCAATATTAACATATATTCATACTAAAACATAAATTCGATCTCCGTGGAATTCACAGAGGAGATACAAAGTCTGAGTAGAGAATTGTTAGGAGCCGGGAGCTGGGGTTTTACCTGCTCTATGGAGGCTGCGTTTACTGCTTTAGTTGCATTTCTCATTCATGAGTTTGGCAGGAAGCATCCTCTGACAGTGCCAACAAGATATGGAAGGGGTGGGAGGAAACACATGGAAAGTTTTAAGAAGTTCACGCTGGGGACTTTTGATTAAGTTAGAAGTGGTCAGTAGACATAATAATATACATCACGCATTTGTCTCCAACTTAAAATTTTGCTTGCTGTCATGGCTCCTTATTGGAAAGGAGGGAAGCCAAACAAATATCGAAACTTTTGCTCAGCTTTCCCATTTTCTCAAGTGTTCAGTGCTTGTATTCCAGCCGTCCCGCTGTAAATTGCTGTGTCACAGGCAGAGGTGTAGCTGTACAATCGAGCTTTGTTTCTTAGGATTTCTCCTGATGTCGCTCTCCTTCCTCACTGGAACAAGGGAGGATGCTCCGTGACTTCCCTATTGGTGATCGGATTTCCCTGCTTATTTAAGTTAATGGAAAACTGTCTTCAGTTCCATCTTCTCAGTGTGCTCTCTGAGCACATCCACTGCTATGGCCTTGAAATTTCTGTGGCTAACCATTATGGGTTCATGCTTTATATCTGTGAATTTTATCACCCAGACCTCTGAAAACACTGAGTCTGGCAAGGAAAGAGGAAGAAAGTAGATCATTTTTGTAATCTGTCTAATCGGAAACCATCCGCACTCACCAGAGGCAAGAATTTGCTGCTGTAATTAGCTGCCCCCCACAAGTCAGTCACCGCTTGCCCCTCCAATAACCCATTACGTGACGCAAAATGAAAGAAAATGCATCCTCTTTTTCAGTTCTGTATTTGAACCGGGAAATTAATAACACATAGTATCGAAGTGAAAACATTTCAACAAGCTTTTATTAGATACATAAACTTAAATACTTCTCATAAATAAATAAATAAACAATAGAAGACCAGCTACATTCTTATGCAAAAATAAATATTCAAAAATAAATAAATAAACAAAATGGTTTTCTCTTCTAATTGAAAGACGGCATTAAAATATGTGTTTATATCTTCACAACACTAATTCACCATAAAAAATATACTGAAAATGATGGCACAAAAAGCACTGCCTGAGAATTTTGACTTTTTGATTTTGCAAGCTCGCTTCTTCTGCTGGGTCGCCCTCTCGGAGTGGCAGTGACCTAGGCACAGTCGATGCTCCCTATCCATGCTTTCCTGGAGAGAAGCAGTCACTGCTGGTTTCCTAGTGTCAGCAAAAAGGGAAGGTGTCATTTAGTGAAAGCGCTGCTGGGAGGGCACTGCACC